CGGACCTGGGCCCGGGGCGTGCCCGACCGCAGCCCCGACGCGTCCGAGCGGTTCGGTCTGTGCCCTGCGGGGCCGCGGCCTGCAGCGAGGACCCTGCTGCCCTCGGCCTGCGTGTCCCTCCGTCAAGGAGAACAGACGGGCCAGGCCGACGCGTAGCTTCCGAGCGCTCTGCGTCTGCACCGCTCAGGGACGTGGTCGGGGTGGGAGTGGCCGCTGCTCCAGGGCAGAAGGGGTTGCAGGTGGGCGGTGGAATTTCTCTCTTCTTTAGGACAAGTGGAGCTAGGTCGCACCCGACAGAAGTGATCTGTTTTCCAGTGCCCATGCGGGATGGTGTCTGGGCCTTTGCACCTACGCTCGCGAGGTTACTCTCGCGCAGTTACCCTGATTGCTCACTGTGGCCTTGATGATGGCCAGGACCTGTGTTATGTGTTAGTTTCTTATCTCTCTCTCACTTTGTTTCAGACTCCCTCCAATTTCTGACCGGTAAAGAGGCTTTGCTGTTGGTTCATCCAAAGTCAAGCTGAGTACCTTTGGTCTCTCTACTCTGTTTCTTGTGTTCTCAGTCTTCGAGGCCATCAGAAATTGACTTGCACCGTTATTTGGTTGGTTGTATAGAATCTGTTTCCAATCATGTGAATGCTTGTTGCTATTCTGTCCCAAGACCTAGAACAGCCTAGCTCCAGTATGTCAATTGCTGTCAGCAATGAGTAGGTCCCCCATTCGAGGGCTCCCACTTCATGTAGAATAATTTCCACTCCCAGCCCCTCAACATGGCCCACAGGCTCTGCTGCTTGATCTGCTTTCTGTTTTTCCTTATACTGGGGACTGAACCCAGGAACACTGTTCCACTTGTGTACAACTTCTGCCTTAGTGTAGTGCGTTGCTAAGTTACCTAAGCTAGCTTAAAACATGAAATTCTCCTGCCTTAGCATCCTGAGTAGCTGAGATTACTGTCATGTGACACTGTGCCCTGCCAGTTCTTGATCTGCTCATTAGCCACTTCTGCTTCCTGTTCCTTTGTCCCCTGGCTCACTGCATCGGCCAGAGTCTTGAACTTGCCAGGTTCTCTCCCATTGTGTAGCCTTTGTCCTTGATCTTCTTTTGCTGTGGGACACTGTCACTGATCTCCTGTCATGCACACCTTTTCTGTGCATTGGGCCTAGGATGGTCTTTCCTTGGCTACTATAGGTCTAGCTGAAGCATCCCCGCTTCTTGGAACTTCGTGAAGTGTCTTACTAGATGTGTAAATCTTGCTTCTGTGGGCTTTTTTGTTTGTTTTGTTTTTTGCTTTGCTTTACTTTTTTCTCTTGTGGTGCTGGAACTTGAACCCATGGCCCTGGCATTAAGCTATATCCTTAGCCCCTTCTAAATTTTGAGACAAGTTCTGCTAGGCCTAAGTTTGAGATTTTTCTGTGTTAGCCTCCAGCGGTGCTTCTAACTAAATACAGTGGTACCTCGATTCACAAACTTAGAATCTTTCCATGATTCTGATATGAATTCTGTGATCCAGGTACCACTGTATAAGACTGTGGCTGACTTCCAAAGCTGAGCCCCATTTTACTGACCCTGATGGGAATGATAATGGCATTTACTTGTGGGGTTTCTGGAAGACTGATGAAAGTTTCAGAGAACATAACACTTCCTGACATGTTGTAGGTTCTCAACGCATCGCCTTTTTAGTTCTCAGAACTACATGGTAATGTAGGAGTGATTATGTGTTTTGATTTGGAAACTGAGACTTAGGGAAATAATACGAAATTTTCATGATTAAGCAGCTGGCACATGTGAGATGTAAGAGGATTGATTCTGGCCCCAGCCCTGGGGCCCCTTATTTGTTTGACTAGGCACGTACAGCCTTCAGTCTGGGGCAGGTGCACCGTGAGCACCAGGAGTTCAGCTGCTGCTGCTATCACAGTGAGAATTATCGAAGTTGTTTCCCTCTAGTTCTCTATATCTCAGAGCACTTTAGCTGTGCCTGCCACAGTCCTCACCAGTTGTCATTGTGTGGGTTCTCTTTAGTTGTTTTCCCATGGGAAACTTTTTTCCTACTCAGAATTACCTTACGTCGAAAGGCCACATCTATCTCCATATGGAACCCCACACAGAACCTGGCGCTCGGGAGCCCTTGGTGAATGATAGGCTCTGATCCTATGCAGACACACAAGGTATATGCCAGTGCTTCTGTTTGACTTTCCAGGTCTTGGTGACCTTCAGTGATGTGGCTGTGACCTTTACCCAGGAGGAGTGGAGACAGCTGGACTTGGCCCAGAGGACTCTGTACCAGGAGGTGATGCTGGAGACCTGTGTGATTCTAGTCTCGCTAGGTAACAACTCACCTCTCAGCCCTGGAGACACAGCTTCCTTGATTCCTGGCTGGGCAAGAAGGTCACCAGAGCTCACGTGCTTCCTCCTCTCAGCTTCTGTAGTTTCTGGTCCCACCTCCTGCTGCTTGAACTCCCTGTGTCTGCATCAGATACATGGAGTTTAAGCACAAACCCCTGCTGTCTTGCCCAGGATACTCTGGAAGAGTCAGCTGTCTTCATTGCCTGATCGGGGCTATAGGTGATGAGGTGTTCCAAGAGAAGGTGTGAGTCAGGTCCTCAGAAGACATTGGGCATCACTGTCACATATTTTCCTAACAACATGATTTTGGGGAAAAGGCCACAAACACTTTTGTAATCATTGCCTCAGTCTTTTGTCGGTTGAGGAGGTTAATGTCCTCAAAACAGCATGTGGGACCTGTGCAGACCGCTGATCCTTCTCTTTTCCTGTCCAGCCTGCCGATTATAATCACAGAAACAGCTCAGATCTGTGCCAAGTCGTCTCTCTTCCATCCAGCTGTGGTTGATTGCTCTTTTTGGTGGGGGACAGCCTCCAACTCAGCCCTGAGCAGCCTACCCCCCTTCACTGGAACTGAATGACATTTTTATCGTGTCTGTTGTTGACCGTTACCAGAGTGAAACAGAGTTCCCTTTCATAATGAAATGTTTTAGATTTTAGTGTATGTGCTGCTGAAGCAAGTACTAGAATAAAATATTTCAGAAATGTGGGTCAGGTTAAAGAGAAGCCATTGGAAATATTGGCACGCTGCATGCTGTGCATATCTGCGACTTCTGAATTCAGATGTCAGTCCATAGGTGACAATTCAGGTGCGCTGTATAAAGGAAACTGGGGAGAATTTAAAGAGTAAATGACCAGCGGCCCAGAACCCCTCATGGGTGCTTCAGGGACGGCATGCCACAGGAATTGACAGTAGGGCTGAGATGTGAAAGCTGAGTAGGGCTTGGCCAAGTGGAAGGAAGTGGAGAAGAAAACGTGCCAGGTAGGGAAAGCCGTGATGTGATGGGGAACTCAGGCGCTGGCGAATTTGCAGGACCAACAGCTTGACTGTTTCCAGATCTCCACCCCTAAGCCCGGAGCCAGGCACGTAGTTCCCTTTGGAGAACCTCGCTGAGACATGTTGGTGTGTTGTAAGTGAGAGCCTGCCAGTCATTTCTGTAAATCGTGTGTCTCCAGACAGGGCTGTCCTCTCCTTAACTGATGCAGGTCAAACTTGGAAGGATTTGCTGCTCACTAAGGAGATACCCCAGTGTGTGGCTGGCTCAGGCTTCCTACGTGCAGCAGCCCTGTGGTGGTGTCCAGGACATTGAGTTCTGTCTTCCACGTTTAGTACAGCCGCCACTTTTGTCCCCAGGTCCACTCCCTCAGGGATGTGGGACACTAGCAGTGAGTAGACAGCAGGCCCCTGGGTCCAGCCCGCTCTTCCCGCGTTGGAATCAAAGCTCCTCTTTACCATGAAAATGCGTCTGAGGTCACCTGCCAGTCTTAGACTACTGACAACTACAGCTGCCATTCACTAGTTTATTTCAAGCAGAGAGTTTTCAAAAGTGTTGGTGCCCAAACCTCATCCCATGAAAGTCTGTTTGAGTTGCCTAGAGTTTGGAATGCAGCTTTTTCAGGAAACTGAAGTGTAGGAGTTTGAGAATCCATGACTTGGAATTGAAAGACACCTCTGGACAGAGTCCTCATCCTTGCTGTGTCGCCTGGCTGTTTGAGAAAGTGGTGTGCTGGTGAACAGTGTTGGCTTTCAGAGACAGAGTCATGGGTAGTGGGGTTGTCCTTCAGTGCTGAATTACCTGCTGTGGACTTCCAGGTACAGTCATGTCAGTGCTAGGATTTCAACATTTGTGTTTTGGAGGGGCACGGTTCAGTGAGAGGAGTGCCCTTGGTTTTCAGGTCTCAGAGAAATGTTTTGCTTATTTGTGGTCTTGCTCCTATCATGATATCGCAGGCAGGGTGGTGGCTTCTTTCTTCTCACACAGTTACCCCTTTCCTGCTTCCTTTGCCATCAACAGGGTACCGGGTTCCTAAACCAGAGTTGATCTACCTTCCGGTGTGTGAGCGGGAGCTGTGGACAGTGAAGAAAGACCTCTTGCCTACCACCTGTACAGGTAGGGGGCCACAACCTTGTCAGGAGGGGTCATGGCCGACAGACTGACAGACCCACAACCCCTGGACTACTGTGTGAGACTTCTTGTTGTGACCTCATAGGTTCTGACCCACTTCAGTGTCCAATGTGCATGAGCAGGTGAGCTCTGAACCATACAGTTACTCAGAGATCCAGGTGCCGTCACCTGTGGTCGGGCAGCTTTCGATTGCTCTGAGCATGATCCAGTGGCTGGAAGCACTTGAGAAAGGAAAGGGAGACACATCTGTGTCCCTTGTGTGTATTCTGGACAAGAAACGGGCATTTGACCAAACCTGCGTCCGTATGACGGAGAAATGTGGTTTAGCTGTGTGGCGGAGGAGAATAATAAAAGGGTTGATTCGTGTCACCTCAGGCTGCTATACCTTCAAAATCAGAGGACAATAATCAGATCCTGCAAGTTGCTACTTAGGTCAGTGGTTGGCCTGTAGTATCAACAAAAGTCATCTGTTAACACTTAGTAGTGTTAGTCATGGTGAACAAAAAAGGGTCTTTCTGGTCTCAAAAAAGGGACCTTGCCTCATGATACAAAGTCAGTACACAGAAGCCAGTCATGTTCTTCTACCTCAGTAATGAACCCAGTGAGGAAAATCAGGAAAACAGTTACATTCACAGTAATTTCAGAAAAATTAAACACCTAGGAATCAACTCTACCAAGGTGTTAAAATACCCGTATAATGAGCATTATAGAACTCTGAAGAATGAAATTGAAGAGGACAGCAGAAAATGGAAAGACATCCTTTGTTCCTGGGTAGGCAGAATTAATATTGTTAGAGGTTATACAATTACAGTTCTTATTCTTGAATTCTTTTTAAACATTCATCTCTGTCCGTTGTATGCCTGTGGTCTCCTTTTTTGTCCCCCATGGAAGGGATCTTATCTCTAACCTTGACCAGTCTCTGGGGCAGCTACATCAGACCTTCTCTGTTCTCAGGAAGCCTGTTTTTTCTGCCTTTTCTGGACATTCATCTTCTATTCTCATCATAAAATTGCATGTATGTTGCTTACATTTGGGGAAAAGAAACACAAAGTGCTTTTTAATATACAACAAGAAACAGGTAGTGTACATAACATATTAAGGCAAGGACCTTGAAGGACTTCTAACTCATTTTTGAAAGAGATGTATATACTTGTATATTTTTTGTCTTACATTCTTAAAATTTATAAAAAGTCTGAGGGATACAGTGATGTGCATAGATATTAAGGTTCAGATTAAATTTTTGGCTGAGGTGTAAACTGAAGTGTTCTCCACCTGGATCAAGCTTGAGAATGTCTGTCTCCTCGGTAGGCTTGTGTTGTGTCCTTATCAGGAGCTCCTCCTACGCTGGTGCACACTAGTGAAGCTGTCATGATGGTTTTGGTTTTGACTGGTTGGGAATGAACAGAATTGGAACCCTAAGGTATTTTCTCATTTGTGTATTCTTTTTATTGTCATGTATGCATCAGCAGGGTTCATCTTGTGTCCTGTAGCATTCTGTGAAAGGATCAGAATTCATTCACTGTTCTCCTTTGATGGATGTTTGTGTTATTTACTGTGTGTGGATGTTAAGAGGAATCCTGCTGTGAAAGTTGTTTTCCATCATATTCACTGGGTAGATCACTCATTTGTTTGGGTGTTCGTGTATCCCTAGGAGAGGAAAGGCTCAATTATGGAACGGCTTGGTTTGTGCTCAGCTCTAAGTCAGGCCGCCACACACGTGCCAGGGTAGTTACCCCACTTCCAGTTTGCATTGGGCACCTGTATGAGTACCAGTGCGCTGGGCCCTGCTGAGCAGGGAGAATACCCACGTGACTCTTTCAGGCACAGTAACTGGTTTCCTCAGACCACAAACGTGAAATTGCCCAGTGCAACAGTTGAGAATCAGCAGGAGTGGCTGCGAGTAAGCATGGATGTCACATCAGGAGCTGTGCTGTGTGTCTCACAGCCACTTTCTCTTTAGCCCTCGGCGCAGGCTGAGAAACAGAGCACCTACAGCTCTTAGACGGGGATAGTAGACTTTCTAGAGAAAAGAGTTAGTCCACTAGCTGTTGGCTTGGCAGGGCAGGAGTTGAACGAAGTCGTTGTGTCCCTCCCAGTGCCTTCTCTTTGCTCTGCCCACCTTGCTGCTGTTCTTGCCTGCCGATGCGGCAGCAGTGATACTGGGCTTTATTTTTTGTGCCGTTCCTTCTTTCTTCATTCTCTTCTACCACCTCCTTCAGTGTTTGCTTCCCCAGGCAGTGGTGCCATTTACCTCTAGGTCTCAACCCTGCTCCAAGGGTGTATCTCCCCATGCTCACTCCCTCACTTCAGTGCGGTGCCTGCATCTCCATCTGGGAAACACTGGTTTCTCAGTTGTGTCTCAGCTTCATTTTATGGAACACTTCTGGGAAGCTGTCCATGATTGATCTAGCCTCTGTCTTTGTCTGTGTCTCCGTCTTTGTTTTCTTAATCTTATTATATGCCACCTTCCTATACTTTTATGACACCAATAGACAGTTCTTAGACCAGAAGTTCCCCCGACAGTGTCATCGAAATGCTATTCTCCTTTCCCATCTGAGGACTAGAAAGATGTAGTCTTCACTCCTGATTCTCTGTCCCCTTGTCCAGCATGGTTTCCTGATTTTCCCTTTACTGGTTTCATGGCTGCAAGGACTTACGGAGGATAATTGGAACCTGGGTTATAGAGATGTGAAGACATAGGAAGTACAGTATCAGAGGTTCTGTTCCCACCCTCATTTTCCCACTGAAATGTTTGTCTTGATTTTTCTGCATGGTGTCACCAACAGTTTCCTTTTTGTGTGTTGGATTCCCTTTCAGGTGACAGAGCACAACTTCAGACGAGAATGCCAACCACCTGTCTCCCAGTCAAGTCTGAGGGAACCTTGCTTCATGGAAGGCTGACTCAGGGATCTTCAGAGGACTTCAGATGGGGAATGGACCCCGCTCTGGGGATCAGGAAGGGCTTTTGGAAAGGACAGAAAGGCTGTCCTGAGGAGACCTGTCCTGGCAACACATGTCCTGAAGATGGTGGTTTGGAAATGGATGGTGATTTGTACCCCAGGGAGTTCCAGGAGCAAGCGCTTCCAGATGTTCTCTGTGGATGTGACTCTCAGGAAACTGGGAAAGACACCTCAGTACTCTTAGGGATGAACTCATACAGGTGCAAGCAGTGTGGGAAAGGTTTTAGCAGGAAGTGGTATCTTGTTCGACATCAGCGGGTTCACACAGGTCTGAAGCCCTATGAGTGCAGTGCATGTGGGAAAACCTTCAGTCAGAACTCAACCCTCATTCGTCACTACTTCATTCACACCGGAGAGAAGCCATACAAATGCTTCGAGTGTGGGAAGGCCTTTAAACGCAGGGCGTACCTGACACAGCACCACCCAGTCCACACTGGAGAGAAGCCCTATGAGTGCCCACAGTGTGAGAAGGCCTTCACCCACCGCTCTACATTTATTCGCCATAGTAGGACACACACTGGAGAAAAACCCTTTGAGTGCAAAGAATGTGAGAAAGCCTTCACCAATAAAGCACACCTGATTCAGCACTATGTAGTCCATACTGGTGAGAAGCCCTACGAGTGCATGGACTGTGGGAAGGCCTTCCGGTGCAGTGCAGAGCTGGTGCAGCACCAGCGGGTCCACACTGGGGAGAAGCCCTATGAGTGTGCCCAGTGCGGGAAGGCCTTCCACCGTAGCATGTATCTTGTCCAACACTTGGTCATCCATACTGGGGAGATGCCCTACAAGTGCAGTGAGTGTGGCAAGGCTTTCAAACGCCGGTCACACCTCCTGCAGCACCGGCGGGTCCACTCTTGAAGAAACCTTGTCAGTACAGTGAATGAGGGCCGTTTGTCACGTGCTGTTCCTCTTCTGTCTGTGCTAGCGGGGCCCGCGTAGAAGGAAAAACCGTAAGAACGTAGGGAATGTTGGGAAGCATCACTACATCTCCCTGTTCTTTGGTCATCTCCACTGAGTGACATTGGAGAGGAGCCCTGTGAATGTTGTGAATGTAAGGAAATCATCTACTGCTCAGTCCTAGGCGTTATGAAAGGATTCCAGCAGGAATGAGGGGATTTATCTCGTACCAGTGGATCAACCTCAGAACTCAGGCTGAGGAAAACACTGAGCCATCTTAGGGCACTTTGGCAGAAGCAAGACCTCACTTCCATCTTAGAATGCCTAGTGTGGGATTTCTGCATGATTGTCACTGTGAGAAACCTCTGTGACAGTGGGTCACTCACTTGGCCTGGAAAGCATTGTGTTGGAATTGGCCTCCCCTTGGGATTTGGCCCATGGAGTCAGCAGGCCTCAGTCACCAGTCTCCTTCATGGAAAGCTTTCTCTATCATTTGGAAAGACATACGAAGAGGTAACAAAAAGTGGGAGGAAAATGCATTCCGTTAGAACTCATTTGGACTTTGCTGCCAAGCCTTTCGCAGTTTTTATCAGTTTGACTTTGGTAGGGATGTCTGAGCTGTGAAGAGGTCTCAGCCCTTTATTTTCCTCTGTGATCTGCAGTCTTGTGTCAGGAGAATGACAGTGCAGCAGCCCTTCAGTAATCCACACGTCTTGACACGTGAGAAGGGCAGTGCTTAAGAGATGAAGGGTTGAGTGATAAGGTGCTCAAACACAAGAAATTCGAGTGCCTCATTAAAACGTGCACCATGTAGCACTGCAAGGGTTTGCTCTTTATAAATAAACCCCTGTTCATGTGATTTTTAAGTAGCGCTTGGTTTTCTTGATTCCATGCTACTTGTCTGTTTTCTCTATTTTCTCTGCAGCATAGTGTTCTGTCACTATGTACTTAGTCTCCTCAGGGGAGCCGAAATGGTCTTATTTCTGGTGTTTTTGTGATCTTGTGAGGTGTATTTCCATGTTTTCAGCAGTTCTTTAGGGGTTGAGTTGTAGGCAAAACAAGGTAGGGCAAATTTATGATCAACTCAGGAAAACACTGGTTGTGTACATTACTTGCTACAAAATCAGGTGTCCTACATTTTGAATCAGGATGTATGTGTGCAGGTTTGTGTGGGGCTCACAGCCACCATGAATTCTCCTTTCGTGCTAGCATAGAGTGTAGTAAATCTGGAATTTTTCCTGTGGGATTTTCTTCCAGTTCATTTTCAGACTATCCAAGGTAAGCAATATTAAGTTTAAAGTAAAAGTGTCTTTACCTGAATGTCATAGCAGATACCTGCAATCTCAGTACTCTTTGAGACTGACACAGGAGGATCATAAGCTGAAACCCATCCTGGACCTCTTACCAACTTACCACCTACCAGTTAGATCCACTATCTAAATTAAAAAAGAAGAAGCCCGGTGTGAAGGCCCTGGGTTTGGTGCACTCTGCTTGGGTGGGTCGGTGGCTGGACTGTAAGGTTTTCATTTTTTCATTTGAGCCTTCCTTGGAGCCTTTTAAAAGAACATACAAATGCTTCACACATTTTTATTGGGGGAGGAGCAGGAGTGATTTGTTTTTTATTGAACAAGGATACTGTGGTTCCTTCAGCTGTCAACTCTTCCCTTAATCTTTGCTGTGTTTGGGGCCATGATCTGCCACAGACTTGCTGTGATAGATAACAGGCTCATAACCCCATGTTTCATGAGCAGTGTGTGACTACAGACTGCTCTGGTCACACGGGGTAGTGGCACACATGGGTGACCGGAACACAGTTAATTGGGGTTGGAGCCAGACATCCTTCAAACACTGGAACAGGGAGCGAGGGAGTATATTGTCTAATGTAAAAAAGTATGGGAACAGATACAAAATTAACCTTAACTTCTTTTCTCATCCATTCTTAGTAAAAAATTTAAAATCTTAGTTCTGTTTGTTTTCCACAGCATTAATTTCAGGATTAGTTGAGCTGAAACATTTTCACACTTATACTTCAGTTTTGTTTTGCATGTAAAGAAGACGATTAAACAACACTTCACTGTTGAAACTTAGTGGGGACAGAATTCTGGGGTGGGAGTTGCAGTGACCGTATTTAGTCTGCTCCAATTAGTAAGTTCACCAGAGGAGATGAGGAAAGGGGAATTAATAAGTTAAGAGATAAAATAGAAATTGTAGTTTTTTAAATGAAGGAAAACTGGAAGAGTCTTCGCACAGTTAAAACAGTGCTTTAAACAAAAGGGGGGGGCTGGGGATTTAGCTCAGCCGCACAGCGCCTGCCTGGCAAGCGCAGGGTCGTGAGTTCATTCCTGGTCCCGGAAGAAAAAACAAAAACAAAACAAACAAACAAAAAAGTACTTCCTCCTTGAGTGTGGAGGTGGAAATGCATTGGGGGCAGGGTGTTGCGGTGAGCATCCCCCATAACTTCACTGGGGACTCAATAGTCACCCTGAGTTTTGTAATAATGAAAATAGCACTTGCATTTATGTTGAAAATAGATTTAAGAAATCATTAATGGAATACAATATGTAAGAGACCAGTGGAGACAACTGAGGAGGAAGGAAAGAACTAGGAGTGATTTGAAAGACCAACCCTGAAATGAACTTGTGCTGCTACTTGCTTGATGGCCCTGGGGATGCATCTGTGGGTGTTACTGCACCCACAGATGGAAGTTCACAAAGGAAGTTCACTAAGAACAGAAAAGTGTCCCTTCACGGCCTAAAGGCTGCAAGTCTGAGAGCCAGGCATCTGATGTGGGCCTTTGCGCTCCATCCTCACATGGTAGAAGAGCAGAGAAGGGAACCCTGCTCCACACGCACTCTCAGGGTGCTTTTAGGCCACTCATGAGACGGGAGCCCTAAGGACCTAACCACCTTCCCAAAGGCCCCACATCCCAGAAACTGCCCTGGGATTAAGTGTCCAACAATTCCTTGTTTTTTTCAAACAACGTCAGGTTGCCTCAAAAATTCCATTGCCCTAATTGTCAGTGGTCACGTGTAACACAGTGAGTAACATGGTTTTACCCACATAATATCTCCTATTCTGTAGCGTGAGATATGTTCAACTCCTTTTGTTACTCTGAGAACTGTCTAAAAAGAAGAGCCTCTTAGCAAATGCCATGTTGGGGCTGGACAGGTTCTAATGTGTGTGCAGACAGAGCAAGAGTTCAAAGGGAGTACTGGAACTTCAATATAAAGAATGGATGGATAAACAAAATGTGGTACCCTCATTTATTGGCATGCATATGGAACCTATTTATACAAGAAGCAGTATAGAGCACAGAGTAGGAAGTAGGAAGACCTTTTTCAAATGGAAAGGGGAGCAAGAGGTGGGGGGAGTGAGGAGGGGAAGAAGAAAATGATGGAAAAAAAACCCAAAAATAGAGTTTTGCAAATGCGGAGGGGAAGAATATTTGGAAGGAGGAGAGGGGCAGAGGACAAAAAAGAATTAAGATGTGTTATGTACATGTACAAATCCCCCACGATGAAGGTGAGCATAAGATAACACTCATAAAAAAGAAATAGCATACCGACCCATTTTACAGTGTAGATAGATCTAAAAAACAGTATTCTAAGTGGAAGAGGCAGGTGCCAAAGGTCACATGCTAATTGAATGTACATAGGTAAAGTATCCAGAGTGTGGATATCTTTAAACACAGAAAGCAAATTAGTGGTAGGCAGGAGTTGGTTGGAAAGGCGGAGTGGGAGGCAGCTCCTCAATGGATACGGGGTTTGTTTTTGAGGTGATGAAATGTTCTGGAACTGGACAGAGATGGTTGGCCAACATTATGCATATACTAAGTGCTGTGGAACTGTTCACTTTACAGCACTTAATTTTCTATTATGTAAATTTTAAGTAATTAAAGAAAAATATTTTCAATGAGAAGAGTAAGGAAATCAACCAAACAGGAAAGATGTAAGGAGCACATAAAATAAATTATCTGAGAAGTATAAATCTTATTGTCCAAGGGGCCTCAGAAGTTACCAACTCAGGTCACAAATTGAGCAAATATCTTCGTCTAGCCAGTGACCAGATCTTTTTCAGTGTACCTGGGAACACACACACACACACACACACACCTGTGTGCACAGGGAGATGTGTTAGTATAAAATGCTCAAGACTTTATAACATTTATTCAGAAAAATGAGAGCTGAAAGACATTAGATGCAGCAGAGCCAGGTCAGCTGTTTCACACATGGGGTCCAGGCAGACCGGGCTCAGGGTACCGCATGAACCCAGAGGTTTCACACATGGAACGGGGCTGGGTCTGCAGGGCCCCTTATAGGGGTCGGGGCTGTGATTGAGGATGTTATGAATGTCCTGCGATCTGGCCCTGAATTGTGCTAGACACAATGGAAACATGTCTACTTTAGGAGAATGTGGAAAGAAACATGTGATTCATTTTTCAGTAAATATTCTCCCCGCTGCCTGAATCCACAGATACTCGGAAGGCATTACTAGGTTCCATGATAAAAGGCCCAGCCCCTGACCCTGAATGGCTTCCCCATCAGAGCTCCAGCGTGTAAGTCCCCATGGAGTCTTCTGTCACTGACAAGTGACATGTTCTCTGAAGGTGATTCCCCACCAGCACTTACAACTTCGAGC